CCCCAAAACCCCAAAACCCCAAAACCCCTACATAACATATTAGCTTTAAACTGATAAAATAATAAAATAAATAAAGTAAATAATGAAGTTATATCGTAAGGATCTTATGGATCAGGAATTTAAACTCTTCTTAAGAAAATTGACATCAAGTGTTATTTTCGGAACTTACTTTGGATTTGCGATGAGTATCTATTTCAGAAAACGATTTGTAAGTTGTACTGCACTCTCAATAGGTACTTTAATGGGTTATTAATACTGTGAGACTAATAAGAGGTTTGGAATGATTGGGCACATTGCAGCAGATCCTTAGTATAAACCTCCAGAAAAGTAGGGAAAGTATCTTACAGATGAATAGATTCTTTCAAAGCTTACAGATCTAAATGGACATTGATTTAGATTATAATGAGTAATAGAAATAAAGCGTTAATGTATATAAATTTATGCAATACTAAGTTAGACATTAATCTATATTATAATAAGTTTAATGCTTCAAATTTATTGAAAACTCCATGAAATTTAAGTTGTTTTAATCGACTTAATTTAGATCAGAACTTCACTTTTGTTAAGGATCAAAGACTTCTTCCTTCCACTTTCTATATCTATTTTCATCCTTGAAAACATCCTTATATTGCTCCTTTAGTTACTCCTCTTCCTCTCTAGTCATAGTCAGAGATACACCTAGTTCACTCTCTAGTTGCTATTGGGTATTTTTCTTCAATAAGATAGCTATCTAAGCACAGCATCCATCTATTAGCTTCTCAATGTCGAGATAATTAGCAACATGCGCCAAATCTGTTAGTTAATCAAAGCTCAATCCATCAAAGAATGTCTTCTCCCATTCGTTCTTGAAGACTGGCTTCTTGATATCATAAATAGGCTTATCAACAAAATCTTTATTCTAATATTCTGCAAGTTCACAAAACTATTTCACCAGATTCAATGATGCAGTATTATATTAGTCCAAAGGAATAGTCTCGTTGTAGTCTGGATTATCCTCAGTCATATTCTTGATAAGATTTGACATCTATGCGAACTCTCTTTTGAATTCAACTATTTCTTTATCTGATGACTCTAATCTAATGTTTTCTGTGCAGCCTTCCATTGCTTTTACTTTGAAATTTACTAATAGGAAATTAATTTATATTAAAACTATTTCTCTTTTCGTCAAAAATGAATCTATCGGGGTTTTGGGGTTTTGGGGTTTTGGGG